ATTACGTTATATGCTGTTCTATTCCGTACTATTCTATAATATTTAGTCTAACTTACTTAATTTAGTAGTGATTTTAGTTAGATTACAGCTCTCTCTAGATTTTCTGTATAGTCTATGTCTCTCGTCTAGTATCTATGTATAGCTAGCTATAAAGCACACGGCACGGTGTAGTATACACAGTGAAACTTTAATAGAAACCCAATACAGTCACCGCGCCGAATTCGCTTTGAAATAGCTATTTGATTCGATTAATAATATAAAATGTAGTAAAAAACGAAAACGAAATATTTCAAAGTAGTGATTTTGTTAGCAAAATATAAAACTTTTTTTGTTGTGTTCAGCAGCGTTTTTTATTTTAGCGCATGCAATTTTATTTATTAATTGTTGCGCTTGGTTGAAAAAAAAATCAAATAAAATCAAAAAAATTTAATTTACTTTGTTTTTAAATTTTCTTTTTCATTTTTTTAGTTTATAAATATAAACCTTATCCGTTGAAAAGTACACATAAATACCAACTTTCATGGTAATCGATCAAATAGATTTTGAACTAAACGATTTCATATATACATCATCCTCTTTTTTATATGTGTAAAAACATAGATATACAATCGCAAACTATTTTGTTGTCTGAAATACCTATTGTTTATAGCTAACATCAAACAGTTTTAGACAAGGAAAAATGATCTCCGATTATCGTCACTCATCAAACAAAACATAGCAGCATTGTGCTGCATATTTTGAGGCAGAAATGTCGGTCCTTCCCCGATTGAGATTAGTTCCAATCTAAGTATATTTTTTATAAAATTGCAGCAGCAAACAAACTTATTTGACGGTTATAACTGCAGTCCAACGACACCTGCAGTCAACTTTTAACACGCTGCAGACAACTATAATGCCTTACGACCTATTGTTATTTTGGCCCTGTATAGCTTTCAGACAGGAACTGTAAGCACTGCACTGTAAGCACTGCTATTTAGTGGCAAATACCGGTAAGCTATCTTACCAACAGTATTATGAGAGTAGATAAAAAAATAACTTACTATAATATGAATTTCTCTTAATAATTTTTAAAATATATAAGTATATATAAATATTTACAGAGAAAAAGAACGAACGGTCATAATGTATCAAGTTAAATTAAGAAACATTTAGAGATACTGTGCCGAATTTATGTGTTACCTACTTTCTATTTCGAATTCCATGGGATTTAACTTCGCAAGTTTTGTGATATTTTTGTATTAATGATAGGTACCGTTTTTAGGCAAGCCTTTTATGGCAATTAAAAGCAAATCAGTACAGAAACGTGATTAAGTAACACATTTATTATAACGTACATATATAAATACAATGAATATCATATTTCAATTCCTTTGACTGTTACTTAAGTAAATATCTAGCAATAAAATTGTTTGGCACGTTTTCAACAAATTGCTATTCATCGCACGTATTTCTCTGAAGCATTGAAAGTCTCTCGTGTCTATGATGGATGTTCTGTCATCGAATAATTGTTGGAATTTAGAAAGTATTAAATAAAGAAATATAAACGGGAGATTAAATGGCTGCGTAGGAAAATGTTTCATGTTCCACGTCCACTGTCAATGAATAATAACAGGGCCATGGGAACGCTTTAACACAAATTCGCGGCCCCACTAGCGACGGTTGCCTCATGACAGCCCGTCTTTGGGGGAAGACTTCTTCAGCCCATGTTCCTTCTCAGGTAATGCGCACTAGGAACACATTTGCGCCTTACTCCACGGCCTCCAACTCCACCTGTGTAATTTGTATACCTGTATCAGCCTAACGCGCAACGTAAACGAAGTCAGCATTTGTCGTAAAGCAACCCCGTCCATTCTGGCATGGGCCTGTTCCAAGTTTAAAAGAGCACAGAATACATTCTGGTTTTTGGCTAAAGACTTGTTTTTTTACAGCATTGGGTGATAGACGAGCACACAGTCCACCCGATGGTAAGTGGATGCTGTAGCCCATAGACATCCACATTTATCCTCAATTAAGAAACAAAATGCAAATGTGTTGTCACCCCTGAGGACTAAAATGGAATGCCTCGATTCCAGTAAAATGGGTCTCCAGTTTTCTACACTCACCATACGAAACACAGCAGCATCACGCTACCATTTTACGATGGTAATCTGTGAGAGCGTGGTCCTGCCCCGGTCGAGCCGACCCATTCAGTCTACGACTGTGTACTTGTCCGTATTCATGCGTATAACAATCCCCTTTCTAAATCCAGCTTGCATATTACAAATTTTTCTGTCAGTTTCTTTTACTCTTCATATAAGAATTAATCGAATCTATCGTTCAAAGCTTAAATGGCTACCAATACGTCAAAGGCGATGCTCTAGAATTTTAGGCGGTGGTCTCCTATAAAGGCCATCGGCCGCTTACAGCGTCACGCCGTACGCCGCGTTGCGATGCTTACTATAGAAATGTACTGTTGTGGTCTCTTTCACAAGCTGATGTCAGCGTATGGACGTCGTAGGCGGCGTTAAGACGCTGTGCGCTGCGTCTCTAGTTATTACGAACCATTGCAGCGTGAAGGTCGTGTCTAGCGTCAGTACAAAATGACAAAATTCAATAAAGAAAAAGACGAGTCACTGCGTTATTATTATGTTTAAATTGTTCCTGATTAATACGAAAATATTCAGTAAATTTAGAATTGCTGTCTTTTAAGTGTTTTATTATCAATAGCTGGAAACATCCTTCTTCATATCTCTTCATAAATAATCGGTGCCTTGTTGCATTTATTTTTCTTCGTATACGGTTTTGTGCCTCTTCTTCAAGTAACACAAGCGCCCCCCAAAAGTATTGAATTTATATCCATTTTATGTACAAATATGACACACAACCACACGTGAGCACTGTCGGCTACTTAATTATTGCTCGATCGAAAGTCTAGACGTCGTCCGTTTGTAAGATATGTATTGACCGCTGACGCTGTGTCTGGCGTTCAGACGCCGATCGGAACGTTTACGCTGAAGTCGGACGTCGCGTATAGCATTTAATAGGAGACCGTAGCCTTACTTGTACTTTGTTCAATTTTAAACGATCCAAGGTCGCCTTCTTATCTTAAGGATAATTTTCATTTTTTTCATTCGATCGACGGTCGAACTTCCCGACAATCAAACAGTCTGAGGTTAAGGTTTCCACAGCATAAGTCTAATTTTTTTAGGTCGTCTTTTACGATACAAGCTATACAACTTGGCAACACCCTCCCCAATGATATTAAGAATGCCAAAAATAAAAAAGTTTTCAAAGTTCTTCTCCGAGAACATTACCTGAAGGCAACTACTATTTGACATTATTTTTCCTTAATTCTTGTTTTTCCTTTCTTCTTTTTTTTACTTCAAATATTTATTTCATTATAATATATTATTCAAACATTATATTATATATATCATTCATTTGGATATTTATTTACGAAGTTCATAAGAATGTATATATATTATATATATATATGTATGTAAGTATTATTGTACGTATATTTATACTATATGTGTGTATATTTAAATGTATTGTGTATGTATGTACTTTGCATATATGTATATTTTAATGTATGTGCAATTATTTATGTATAATGGTCGCACCTGCCAACAATTGTCCTTGGCACCCAGGGTTGACTGGCAGAGAATGCCACATGGCATTAAGTCCGCCCTATGTACCCTTTAGCTTAAGGTGTTACATGTAAGTTTTTAAATAAATAAAATAAAATAAATAAATAATAAATAATAATAATAACCACCTTATAAATACACTGCACAAAAAAATGCCGTTTATTTGTAATTTTGCGTCAGGAAAGCTTAGGAATCAATACAAACTTAAAGAACAACCCCTCTCGATCTACTACTCATCATCAGTTGCACTGATAAAATACGGAAATATGGTTAAATATTTATAGCACGCAAAATATTTTGAACACTGATGTAATTTATCTTGCCCTATTTTCTTTAAAATGAGTAAAGTTTAGATATTTTTACACCTTCTTCTTGCTCCGAGAACAAGGAGCAGTCAAATTACGTTGAGTGATATTTAACGACCTTAGCTGCCCGACACCTAGTCCGTATTATGTTCAGCTACAAAGCTTAACATTTCATTTTGCTTTAACATTTAATATTGCACCTTTTAAAATATTTAAGTTTCATTATAAAAATCTTTTAATAGTTTTTTTTTTTAGTTTTTAGGATTTTTGTACCGAATCCCTTCATTTGAACTCATTTTCAAAGCAACAGACTGACAAAACTACGGGCAAAGATGAGAAATCTCTAACAACTTTTGTAGTGATAATAACACCCTATCACCAGTCTGTGAAGTTTGGGTTCGGTATTTCTAATGTAAATACCATCACATACCACTATATACATACTCTAGTATATAGGTCATTGACAAATTTACTTGAATAGGAAAGCTTTAGTGCAAACGCGTGCCTCTTTGCTTCAGATACATAAATGAACGGAACTTGCGAGTATACTACAGCTTCAGTGGCGTAGCTACCTAGGGGCTAGGCGGGGCAGTGCCCTCGAGCCCCGGGGCCCTCGAGCTCAGGGGGCCCTCGAATCCTTACCGGAAAATCTCGAAACTGAACTTTTGAAAATTTCTCCCACTTTCAAAATGAATATGACAGGTTGCAAACCAACTTTAATCATGACGACTCAGTTGAGAGAAATTCGAAAGTTATACCTAAGGAATTAATTTTTTTCTGTGAGTTGGCAGTGTCGTCAATTTGACGGTTACCGATATATGCGTTTTATTATACATCGATATGCGTTTTATTGTGAATTCGGGTCAAGATTTTTTTCAAGTACGGTTAAAAATTAATGCTGTATAGGGTGTAACTAAGCTAATGTTAATAAACTTTTTAGTACTGGTCAACATAGTGGTTCAATTTTATTTGATTTTACTACCATTGATGTCCGTTACGTCAATAAATCATGTCAAATCTATAGATTTCGGTTACTCATTGTATAACGCGAAATATCGTGAAAAAAATGCAGGTCACTATAGAAGGTGCATTAATTAAGGCCCGCGTGCGAGGAGATCGTTCTTGGTCTTCTAAATGTGGTAACACCAGCGGCGATAAAATGTTCGCCGGGGATTCCTCAACGACGTCTTGTAGCGTATCATTACGTTTCTCCTTCCTTTTACTTTTAACGTCGTCAGTGAACAGTGAGTACCTACTCGCGAACAATCTATTATAAATATTGAATAAATAAATTAGAAAACAAAAATTATGGACAAAAAGAAGAAACCCAGAGGTGCATTTAAAGGCAAACAATGACAAGAAAGAAAGATATAATTATTAACAAATTTTGGTTTCTGCAAGGTCTTCTTTTTGTAGTTACCGCAGTGTTAGTTGAGAAGCCTACTAAAGATGACTCGACAATTATTGCAGTTGGAGATACCTCCGCCGCCGACCATGTGAACGTGGATGACGTTTGCATGGCAGACATAAGAGCGGAAGATTTGTAGGAACGTGTACGATAAATTTTCTTATGACTTGGGAAACTTCACGTACAAAATGTTAAGTGATAATGAAAAACGTCAAATTCTTGATATGAGGCCTTTACAGCCTTCTGGACCTTTTCCAATAGATATCAAGCAGAATAAAAGGTGTTTTTCAAAATCGCTCTACGTTTCAAGTTCTAAATATGGACCAGTTAATCGTTTTTGGTTGTGTTATTCCAAAATACTAGACGCTGTCTATTGTCAACCCTGCTGGTTATTTGCTTCACAAAGAAATAATGTTTGGTGTACGGGAATTCAGGATTGAAAGAATTTATCAGAAGGAATTAAACAACACAGTTGTTCGAGTGGCCATACGGAAGCATGAGCTATATATGAACTTTAGAAAAAAAATACTATTACTTGGACTAAAATACTAATACTTACAAGGAACTTGAAATTCGCAAAGAAGCGTAATTTTGGAAAATAGTTCTTCAAAAGTTATTCGATACCATACTTACCCTAACAAAGAGCTCTTTGGCTTTGAGAGGACATCGAGAAGACTTAAGTCAAGAAGGATACCATAAAAATTTTCTGTCCTTTGTAGAGCTTGTCGCCCAATATGATCACATTTTGCGGCAAGTTTTGGATATGCCCAAAGGATAATTATTATTATATTTCTAAGTTTTTTATCATTTTATTTTGTTTATAACTGTTAACTGTTTAATATCAGGACTTTTTGAAATTGTATTTTTTTAATGTTTTTAGGGTCTACAAGATATTTGAGCGCAACAATTCAAAATGAAATGATTAAGAACTAGGAGACCAAACTCGAAACCCATCTACTAGAACAAATTAGGGAGTCACCGTTTTTCGCCATCATAATGGATACGACACAGTACAAATGGAAGGTAGATCAGTCACGCATTGTTGTGAGGTATGCAGTAATAACCAGATCGGAAAATGGACAACCAATTGATATAGGAGTAAAAGAAGTGTTTCTAGGCTTTTATGCAGCCATCAAACAACGGAGCTAGTCAACCAAGTGACCACATTATTTATCGACAAAAATATTGATTTAAAAAAATGTGTGAGGCAAGGTTATGATGGAGGCAGTGTGAAGAGTGGTGTGTAAAATAGTGTACAAAAACATATTAAGGATATCCAACCTAATGCGGAGTGCGTACATTGTGTCACTCATAATTTAAATTTAGTGACAAATGAAACCGTTAGCATTTCTGTGAAAATACAGATTTTTTTCGCAACGTTGCAAGATTTGTTTAACGTTTTCGGAAACAACATCAAACTTTGGGATCTACTGTCAAAATTCACTGGCGACCAACCAGTTTAGATAGCAGTGGGGCCCCATTTTTTTATTTGCCCCAGGGCCCTTGGTTACCTAGCTACGCCACTGTACAGCTTTCAATTTTCTTATCTGTTGCTAAGCGAAAACCACGTTCATCGTACTGCTTAATTATGTCAGCATTTATCTAATACCAATTATAAATTGCAGTACATGTTCAAGATAACTTCTTTAACAATTTTAACGCCTAGACGCCGGGATTAGTTAATCCAGTACGAAGTTTTATTACTTTGCAACTCATTGCATTCTAATCCACTTAACATTCTTCGATACATCTATATAAGTAGGTGAAGCTAAATGCCCATCATTAGAAACGAAAGCACATATAGTAGACGTTAATGAGTTCAAATCTTCCGGTGTAAACCTGCAAATTATCTTGAATGTATTGTTACGAGCTTGAGGTTAGTGACAATAAAAATTGCCGATAGAAATACCTAAATTAACACTTTAATTTTCTTTACACTAATTAAAACTTAAAACACTAAAAATTAATCACACTGATTCACTTTATTCCGCTCCGAAGCTTCGCTTGTCTCGCCAAATTCAATACTTCGCCGATCTCGTATTGCAGCGCATTTATATAGGGCTCTTCCACGAAAACATCCAAATTATTCCAGAATATTCAAGTAAATACGCGCGCCAACCGACCAAGCGCAGAAAATTCGAGTCTCAGCTTCTAGAAGCTTAGTTCTTCTTTTCGACAACAGATAGCGCTGTCGGTTGAAAGATTAGTGATGTCATTTTCTGGAAAGCTCCCCTCGCTCTCGTCCCCGACACTAGATGGCGCTAGTGCCGGGTACATGACGTCAACTTAGGCGCGTAACAGTATTAAACCCAATATTAGACTTACTAACTACATGCTTTTAATTCCTCCCTCTCCTTTCCACCATCGGACAATCAAGTCATGGGTAGGTCTTCACCCCTTTTGTTATCGACATTTCACACATTAGAACCAAACGGTTTCCTTCGTCTTTTGTAATGCGTACATAAAGGAGTGGAATAACTTGACGGTGTCTATCTTTCCGTCCGAATACAATCTGGGCATCTTTAAGACAAGAGTGAATAGGCTTTGGTTACGCTAAGACAGTGCGATTTACCATCTAAGGCTGCATCACTACTCACCACCAGGTGGAATTGTGGTCAAGCACTGGCTTTAATAAGTTAGAAAAAACTTTTCATAAAAATGTATGACGATTTGAAAGAAACAAACATTATAAACTAATTTCTACATATTAGATACAGAAGACGGGATTAAGACATATTATATTATATATCGTATATAATATAATATATATTTAGGAAATTATTATATTATCTTTATCTTAATCATCAGGAAATTATATTATCTTCGTTCCTCGAAGTCAGCTTTGCTTTTTATTAAAAGAATAATTAATAGATTTTTGATCTTTTTGAGTAGACTAAGGAATATTAGAAAGTCCCCTAATTTGCCTTAGGAGTGGAATTTTTTTCAATTTGAAAATGGTGGTACCATAAAATATTTAGTTTATTAAAGAAGAAACTTGAACTATAACTAATTTAATAAAAAGAATCATTGAAAAGGGTTTGAAATATCTCATAACATACTTCTTCAAAAAAACTCCCCACTTCAAAAGTTTTTTGAAGCCCTAATGAAAACGAAAATTCCGCTCCAATATAGTCGAGAGTCAACCGCGCAGTGGTGGTGTAACAATATCCACTACTCCGTACCCGCATCGTCCCGAGAGATGTCGTAAGAGGCGACAGAGTGGTATTAACCAGCAGGTGGCAACGTTTTCCTAATAACAACTAGACAAAAAAATTGCCTGCTAAGCGTGGCAAGTATGACAACCCTTATTAGGCATTCTATGGAGAGCCCTACGTTCTGCAGTGGACTTCAATCGGCTGTAATGAATCGTAAATTAATGTACAGGTTGGTTGAAAAGAAACTCCCTGTCTTTATTTGGTTATAAGATTTTAATTTTTTACATTAATTTGTCAAACCACTAAGCAAATAAAACTGTACAATGTGAGTTATAAAAAAAATCTGAAAAATTCAGAATTTAATATAAGCGCCTGCATTTTCTACCAGTTTTTTCAAACGTCTTGGAATATATGCTGCGGACCTTTGTAGAAAGTGATGAGATACATTTGTTAGCACTTGCTGAATTCTTACTTCCAGTTCATCAAGAGTGCGATGTTTTGAGCGATAGACTTCATCATTTGCCCAACCCCACAGGAAAAAATCGAAAGGCGTGAGGTCCGGGCTACGAGCAGGGCATACGTGTCACCCGCGGCGACCTAACCAACGCCCTGGGAAGCGGTTATCTAGCCACTGTCGGACATTCGATGCGAAATGTGGTGAAGCTCCATCTTGCATAAATATTATATTTTCAATGTTATCAAACGTTGACAAAGCTGGCTAAACTCTTTTTTCGAGCATGTTGAGATAGCGCTCTCCATTCATTGTTTCCCTCAAAAGAAAAGGGCCAATAACTTGACTTGATGTCATACCGCACCAAACTGCTGCCTTGGAACGGTTTTGCATTTTCTGAGCAGTTATTTTGGGTCAAACTCTGCCCAATAATGACAGTTATGACAGTTAACAAAGCCCCCAACGTGAAAAATTGCTTCGTCAGTCCAGATAATGTTATCAAACAGTTCTGAACAATCTCCATGCCATCTGAGCATAATCTCTCCGTATTCTATCCGGCGATCACAGTCCTCTGGAGTTATTTCATGGCAGTAACGTGGCTTCCAAGGACGAAAGCTGATAGACTTAAGGGCTGTCATTACAGTGTGCCGTGTAAGTCCGCTCTCACGAGCTGCTTGACATGTTGACTTGTAGGGGCTTTTTGTGAACATTTCTCGAACAATTTTAATATTTTCTTCTGATCTTGATGTTGAAGGACGGCCGGTTCTTTTACTATCTGCCACTGATCCAGTTTTCATCAACTTTGAATGACAGTTTTTAATGGTTTTTGGATCCAAAACAGCATGAGGTCCGTTGAAATTCCGCCACCACCTTTGCACTTCCACTATTGATTGCCACGCTTCGTAGCGAGAGGCAATTTGCGCTCGCTCTTGCATTGACAATCTCCCTTGAACCATTTTATGATGTTTTACCTAATTCTCAATCTATAAAGAAAAAAATTACATAAGATTACATGAATTTGGCCGAAGCTGGTAAAGTTTACAACCAAATAAAGATAAGGAGTTTCTTTTAACCACCCAGTATGTAGAAAATATTAATGATGAACTAAATGAATAGTAATATTAATGATGAACTAAATGAATAGTAATATGAATGATGAACTAAATGAATAGTAATATGAATGATGAACTATATGTATAGTTAAGGTTTGTATTACAAGAGGCGTTAAATAAAAGTCCAGAAAACTTCTTCGATGATAATTCTTCAGAAGTCTTCGATGGATATTAAAATGAAGCGTGAAATTGGGACGATTACTTCCTTTTATTCTATTTACGTAGGTCAAATTCGTAAAAAATATGATAATTATGAATAATATACTTTTATAACTTTACAAAAATATACCCCTATCACACCTTGAAAGGTGAAATATTGTTATGGAAAATCGTGTAAAAGTAAAGTAAAGTTACAGCCTATATACGTCCCACTGCTGGGCACAGGCCTCCCCTCATTTCTGAGAGGGTTTTAGGGCAAGGAAGTGTCCCTGCCCGGTTGACGAACTTCACATGTCTTCGAAATATTTTTTTCTTATTCCTCAGACATGCAGGTTTCCTCACGATGTTTTCCTTCACCGCCGAGCACGTGGTAAATCAGCACTTAAAATTGCAATTAGCAATTTCATTGGTGCCGGCGGGGATCGAACCCGGGTTACTCGCGTTCTGTTATATTTACAGCGAGCGTTAACCACTGAGCTACCACGGCTCTCAAATCGTGTACAGTTGTTTATTTATTATTGTTTATAGCTTAATTTTTAATTAGATAGCGTTAACGTCTAATTCAATTCAATTCCTTACTCTACTATTTTTCGTGCATGGAGTATAGAGGTAACACTCCATATTTTCGAGGTTACAAGAACACTTGCTTACAATATTCCGAACAGCAGTATCCTCGACATACCCATTGTCATTGAGGGGTGGACTTGACCCCTTTTTATTGCAAGAGTGCTCCAACTCGAGACCGCCTTTCTGGGTGTATAAATGGATGGCAGTCAACGGTGGATTACCATCTTAGTTTTTATGGCTTTATCTTTTGCACATAAGTTACGATAACTCTGATATTAATAGTTATTGTATGCACTGAAACCACGGAAAATTTTTTTATCAAGTGACTACTCATGGTACGAGTGACTTTAATTATCACGGAATAAGGAGCGGAACAACGCTTGTTGTTCCGTGATAGTCGAAGTCACTCTCTTCTAAGCAAACTGAATCTCCTTCTACACGGGCAGTATGTGGGTCGATTGCACGCAGAAACAGTATAAATATAACGCCCTGTGCGTAGAGTATAATGATCATTTGTGGTAAAAGTAAACAATGACGTACAATAAGAATTACTTGTAATATATATTGAATAAAAAATATTATATTCTATTCTAATGCATTCAGAATGCTGATGGGCTTGTCCCAATTTTGCATCGCACCAGGGTTGTTCGCCAAGGTGTGTGTAGCCCACTTTTACACTACTATGTGAAAGCGGTACAAATTCTTGTTGCGCAGAGTTCACGCCAGCTCCAGTAGCATCCTGAGAGGATTTGCTGACGATTTCGATTGTTCGAAGTACTTGAACCACTACTGTATGGTTCATTTGATGTCAAATCATCCCTATTTAAGGTTTACTAGACTTTAGTTTTTACTAACAAATAAGTTTAAGATACTCGTGTTACTAAAACATAAAATCCATGGTGGTCGAAATAAAATATTTTTATTTATTTACTACTGATTAAATAACTGAAATATTTCAAGAATATGTTGAATTGCGCGGATACTTGGTGAAAACCACCACGTTTGTAGAAACGACTAGATAATGATAGATCGATATCCTTGCACTAGTGATACTGCACCCCGTCGCTGTTATCTAGTATAGATTAGAACACGGCATTTGATACAATTAGTAAATTTCAAAAGATTTAAAGACAAAAAAAAAAATCAGTCATGGACAAAAGCCACTCCTTAATACGAAGATTACCGTTAATATACAAATAAATAAAAAAATATAAAAACAATAAAAATAAATATATACAAATAAATAAAATTGAAGTGTCTGTTTGTCTTTTCAAAGTAACAGCTTTTCACTAAATGCATAATATGAAAGTATATACGGTACTTATAACTAAAAGACAATTTTTAAAATTTTTGTATGTCTGTCTGTTTGTTCCGGCTAACGTTGGAAACGGCTCGAATGATTTTAATGAGACTTTCACTGGCAAATAGCTGATTTTATAAGGAGGAACTTAAGACACTTTTATTTTAGAAAAAGAATTAGGACTTCGCGCAAAAAACTAAAACCCTAAGTTACACGTTATGAAGTCGCGGGATCAGCTAGTCTAAGAATATATATAAATTTAAAATTAATGTACATGTGTAATACTAAAATAACTGCCTTATATTGAACTGAGGGGGTTATTTGCACGTCATTTAGACGTTAAAAACTATTTTTTAATTTGTCTGTCTGCGTGTCCGGGCTAATCTTCGGAATGGCTGAACCGATTTTTTTTAAATGTCAGCAACAAATAAAGAGCACTGCCAAGTGTGATCCAGGCTATATCCGTAAAACATGGACATTTAAAAGCAAAACGAAAAATAGATAAAATAAATAGTCTTTAGTGATCTTAAATATAAATAATGGCACATTATTAAATCCTACCCCGGGTGATTCACTAATATAGAATAAAACAGACATGTTGAATCGTTTCACTAATCGAAATCTGTACTGTCTGTGTGCCTATCTGTACTATCGCTATTTATACATATATATTATAATATAATTCAATATTTACAATACTGAATTCACTTTATCGATTACGAGTGTAGAAACCCTTATCTATAATCTCTATAATAGTCAGATCCTTTCGGTATACAATCGTATTGATTATATACTGTTTAGAGTACATATACATGTAGGACTGTGTGATTACATATGATGAAGGGAGACTGGGAGTAAAGGGGTTAGGACGTGCGTGTTGAATTTATTATAAAATTAAGTTTTAAGATTTGAAAAATTTCGTTTTCTAGCTTACATACGAGTATGTATATATTTAAAGTGAAAACTTTTTGTTATTACTAAACTCCTATATCATTTATTTTGTGGCATTAAAATGGGAACTTGTTTTTCAAAAGTTTTACGGAATAATAGATGATTACATTTTATACAACAAAGAAACAGAACACAATTTCAAGTCGATACATTTAACTGTAAAAGAGTAAACAAAACCTATTCCTAAGTCTATTTCGGAATCCAAGATCTCAACACATTATAAAATTTTATCCAGAATCAACGAGTAAACTAAGTACCTAGTATCCGTTAAAGAGTCTAATCGTATCTGTCACGAGCTCATCATCATAATAAAATTTGTATGTATGCCAGTAAAATTAAATACTTTTAGTAACCATTATAAGAGCTCAGAGCATAAGCGCAAGCCTTTATTCTTAGTTATATTTCGCGAGCAACGTGGTCTCGCGGAGTCCTGGAAAAACGAGTACCTGGAAATACCAAATTTCTGGCTCCCATCAGTGGATTTGGTTTATGGCTCCATCAGCGACCTACCGACTACTCTACGCGGACGCCTCCACCAACGCCCCATAGCACCATTAGCGGCGCGGAAACTTGTGGAGATTTGGGCGGGGAGTGTATTGCCATACCAAGGTTACTTTTTCCCCACGACTCCACCTTGGATGCGACAGACAGAACATCCCTAACACCACGGACATCCAACAGACCATCATGCACCCTCGTGCCGAGTCTACTCGGAGCAAACTTCTCGAAACAACCCTTCCGCCTTCACTCAAGCTAGCCACGTGGGTTCCTTGTCTTTCACCGTGGATGACCAAACCACGGTTACTAAGCACCTCTGCAACGATTAGGCGCGAACTTGTTCATCCGGTATAGTCTTTTTTACATGATAAAATGTCTACGCACACCCACTTCGCGGGGTAAGGACGTTTTATGTCGGACTCGCACGTACTAAAACCCTACCTGGTCCACCTTTCCCGTATATTTGCAGAGCTACGAGATCGCTTTTGCACTTATCCACGGTCGCACCTGCGCAACGGATCTCCATGAGTCCTGTACGTGGAGATCATAGGGCCAGGAAAAAAGAGCACTTGAAAACACTAGTTTTCCCGACCTCAGCGGGGGATCAGGTAGGAAGAAGGAGAAGGAAGTTAGGAAAACGTCATATCGCTATACTGACTCTCCTCTTTCACCACGTTCCAACACAGAGTCGTGGAGAACTATGCGCATCACCATACCATCACTACTCTTTTCCTGCGACCCCACCTCGACTGCAGCAATAAGGGTAGAGTACACCCCTTTCACCACAGTTCACTTGAAGTAGCACCTCAGGCCAGCCATCCTCTTAGTTCACCGTGGGTGACAAAACCATAGCTGTGTGGCAGCACTGTCGTCGCGCCGAAGCCTAAGTCGCGCTAACAAAGTTCCGAAGTAAAAGCGGTATATATATATTAGCTCCGAATTATCACATGGAGCTTAGATAGTCCCGAAAAAATCGACACCGCGGTCGATTCACTCTCCACCCTTATTAAATCCTCCCTTAAGGAGAACGAAAGGGTCGTCCCGGTTGCTAACAATAGTGGGCTTCCCCTACATATTAGCAACCTATTAAAAGCCAAAAAAGCTGCTTTCCGGAGAGCAGCAAAATATCCCACCCCCGAATATAGGCGCGCGGCCAATCCTCTTCAACGAGAACTCCGCTTCCGCCTCTCTGAATTTCGAGACCTCGAAAAGAGTAAGCTCATGGAAAATATCTCTCCATCTCACACAGCGTACTATTAGATGGCTAGAGCCCTCCGCATAGACGCTATCACCTACACTCCCCCTCTCTCCCGTCCCGACGGCACGGTTGCCTTCGAAGACGAGGAAA